TAGACCTTGCCTATGCCCTTCAGACACTGCCTATGCCCTTGAGAGAACAAAACTTCCAAGACGATAAACAGAGCCAGTCACTGTTTCCAAGCGAGTGTGCAGAGTTTCCTTGTATGAAACCTACCGCAAGTCGCGACTCGCGCCGACATCACGTTTAAATTACATCATTTTTAATTAATTAAAATGTTTAATGCAGTGAAAGCCCGATCTAACGCGGGAGACACGAATAAAACCAGCGTTATGATGGAAAATTCACTCCGGGTGAGGGCGTTTCCCGTGTGTCAGTCACAGCGCATCCCATTGCTGCGTACAACATGCGCCACAGGTTTTAACATTAAGCTTAAATTAAGCTTACATCGAGCTTAAACCCTTGACGACAGAGCCCAAACGGGGCAAAAACCCGTTGCTCCAAGTGACTGCACTCTTCCTTCCGCATGCCCGCTCTTTCGTTCCACGGGGGTTGCCCTCGCCATACCACGGGGGTTGCCCTCGCAAGGTCATTCCAATGCCTCGACCTATACCTCTTTCCTTGACGATGTAAAACCAATAAATATGAAGTTAACATGAAGTTAAATTTTTTTTTTTTAGGGGGACAAGACTCGTATATCCGAATCCGCGGTGTAATGAGCCGCGTTATATCGTGCTTTCACTGTATTTATTTACGCTGAAGTATTTTATCGACTCGTACTAAATATATTAACAAAATTAATCATTATTATTTATTTATATTTTTATTTATTATTATTTTCGTTTTGCACCCACTGAGGTTGAGACTCGGAATGAAAACGAATTATCTTCATCTGGCGATACATGAGACACTTCTAGAGCAAACATTGAATATTGCCCCGCAGTAGCGTTTTTTCTGTTCGTTGAAGCCTCGCTCATATGATCAGATCAGACTTGAAGAGATTCGAAGCAGAACATATCAAAATACCAGTATTCCACTAGTTTGAGACCCGTCAGCAGATGCAACGTGAACGGTAGCGAAGCCTGATCCGACCAGGAGAATCAGTCGTATATTTTGACTATTGAATTTTTTTTTTTTCCATTCATGAAAAGATACACCTGGCAAAAATTCCCCGCTCTCAATCTTTCCAGAATTCCGAAGATGAGGAGTACATAATTGAATATTTTAACTTTCTGCTTCCTTCTAGGAAAGTCTCAAATGTCAGGCGGTCTACGTTTCATGTTCTTTTCTTCGAAGACTGAAAATTGAAAGAGGAAACGGACAAGAATCCTGTCCGTGTCGATGTCAATGGATAAACTGTAGAAATGCAAGAAATTCGAAGAGTATGAAATTTAGAAAGTTGAAAAAAACTTTTATCGGTCACAGTACCCAGAACAAAGTTGTATATAATATTATATTAATATTTCCCCCTCCGAGTCGAAATAGCGATTGCGAAATCCTCCGTTAGCGATCGGACATCACTGCACATTGCAGAACCAAGACCGCCGCGACAATTAGCAAATGTTGCTTTCGGTGACAGCTGCCGGAATTCGATTGATGCCATCGGGTTTCGGCGATCGAATTCTGTGATGACGTGGAAGTAAACAAGCGGTTAAATCCTGCTGGATGAGAAGCTGAAATCGGAACATCCAGCTTATAGACGTAGTACTTGTCTCATTTAAAGTTCGAGTTAATTAAAGCAGTGGGTGTAATCCGCGTTCGAGCCAATCCATCACAAGATTGAAAAGCCGATGTAAGTCCACGGTATTGAGAGGTTAGAAGAGGAAGGATTTTCTCCTTTACTTGAGACCTCTTCATCGACATAGTACGCGATCATCCTTTGTACCATTGAATGTTTCAGCATTTCGACAAAGGGTTTGCAATTAAACTATAGACTTTCTTCTCCTTTCTTGTACATATTCGTCTCCCTAAAAGAGTCTTCAATAAGCTAATGACTTATTTCGTGGGGTGACTACGCGAGATTTCGATTGGAAACTTCGAGTTGATGAATACACTTTCCCCAACCAAGTAGCGACACAGGCGACATCTGCATTGACTAATTGGTATTAGTAGTTACAGTATCCGCAGATGCGTCATAAAAAAGCATGGCGAGTTCTAGCGGCACATAGTATTAGGGGATGAATTCCTTCGTAAAGCACAGTACCTCGGCTTGGCCTAAGCTTCCATCTCTTCATTCTCAGTCCTTTGTCATAAAATATACAATTAAACGTAGGCTTAGCTTACACGATGTCTTAATACCGTTTTCTCTTTTAGCTAAGCCAACCCAGTTTTTACCCAGGCCAGTTTAACATTAGGATTAACGTTAGCTCATGCAAACGATGCTCCTTCACGTATTGTAGCCTTAGCTTATGATGAAGCTATTAAATGTGATTTGATTTTGATCCTATTTATGCAGATACCATACCCCCTGACCAAGGCGTATCTCTTAAGGACTGGAACAGTAGACCTAAGTTACGTCAGCACATATCTAGAGCTGCTGAGAATGGAAGAAATAGGAATCATTATGCCTGAAAAGGTAAGTGTAACAGTTGGCCTAATATTTTACTAAGCTACTGGCAATATCCAGGGCAAACATGCCCATCCTTGACTTTTATGGGCTCTACTCCTGTGGGGCCTTAACAAACTATCAAGGGGTTCCTTTCTGTTCAAAACTCAGTTAAATTGGATTCCTTTTTACAGAAGCAATGCTTGGGTCAGGAAAAGAACCTGTAAAATTTAGCATCGTCATCAAAGTTGAAAGCCATTGGTGCCTGATCTTGCTTTCAATGTAAAAAAACAAGTGCTCAGTAATAGCCCTAGTGCTCTGGATAGAACTAGGTTCAGAGCAGGTTTGAAAATGGCTATTATCCTGAAATAATAGTCATGCACTCTGAGACTTTGCCAAGCCTGGGGAGTGGCTTTGTTTTCAAGGAAATACCATATTGGAACTTATTTTTTTCTATAACCCTTTTGTGCATGAATTCTTAAAGCAAAACAAAAAGGTGCTTTTTTTGGTTTAATGTTTAAGGTGGTACTCTGCCATAGTATAGTAGTTGCACGTTCCACCATTAGGAAGCAACACCAAATAGATTATATACCTTGGAGTGGACTGCATGCACCAAATGTTTCAAATATTGTGGCTGAGAAACCAACACCAGAACCAATATCATAGCCATCCATTTCAGTGGACTTGATGCATGAAAGGGTTAAAGGCTTAAAGATTGACTACAGGCCTATCCTAGGGCAGCTTTGGGCTTGGTTATGTCCAGCACAGCTATTTGCCAGGTGGATAGTAAACCAACAATTTTCCCAACTCATTCAAGGATAGAGAATGAAGGAATTTAGGCTGCAATACAATGCATTACTTGCTATTGCAGTGCTAAACCATCTTGGAACATCTGGTAGGTCTATGGTCCAATGTAATCCTTCCAACAGGTTGACTTCTTGTTCTTGTTTGAATGGCAGAGAAGTGTGATAACTGCCTTTAGTTGGTCCTGGGCTGCTCTGGATGTGGTCAATTGCTTGTCATTGACTTCATGCACCCAAAATGTTATGGTATAAAACTGTATAAAACCTCTTTAATCTAGTATACAATTTGGCTTCTAGGCCTATGCCTAATTCACTGAAAAGTTTTGCAGTTAATCCAAAAAAGGAAACTTAGAAGTTGATCTCAAATTCCCTACATCTCTGAGGCCTTCCTCAATATATATGGTGATTGCAAAGTATAAAGTACTTTATTTAGTGAAAGTTATTTAGTTAGCATGAAAAGTATGCACTGTGGTTCAGTGAAACTTTGAGAATAGTGTCACAATGTTAGGAGAGAATTTTAAATGAAAGGAACACATGACCTGTAGGGGATACTGTTGAGATGTCATTGTATGCATTGTGCAGCCACTGGATGAGCATATGAAATGTTACTGTTAAATGATCATTTCTTAAGTAGTCCTTTTAGATGGTGAGGGAAAGGCAGTAAATAGCACGAATGCAATTTTTTAATTAGAATGTTTTTGACTCAGGCGACATGACCAGCCTGTCATTTCACTGCTGGCCTTCATATACCCAACTAATAGCTGCTCCTGTTGATTATAAGACATCTCTGCAACATCCTTTATGAGGCTTTTTTTAAATGTAATCTTCCCTGATGTCATGATACTGTTCTCCAAGTTTCACTTTGCTGCTATGCATAAATTCTATCCATGAATGCTGTATACTCATCAAGTGATTCTATAATCACCCTATACATCAGTCTGCTGTCAGATTTGTGAAAGAGTGCATATTTCAACCATATTAAGGAATTCTGTTTCCATGGATATTTTGTTAATCTTATTGTTTTGTTTCCCAGCCTGTCGAGACTCACACCCTGGAGATGAAAAAAGATGTTCTATCCTTAATCTCAGGTTATGAAGGCCTAGATATTGATGACCTCTACACTAAGTACAAGGTAAGCATTGGGCAGTGCGAGTGGAAGCTTCCTTTGATGTAATATTCATAAGGTGGATTAAATTCACAAACCTTGTGGGTGTTGGCCAACTTCAGAATTGAAGTCTTTATGCAGTTAGTCGTTGCTTGAGCTCTGTCACTGCTTTAGTTCAGTTTTGCACCTTGGTTGTCAGAACAATTGGTAGAGTTTGTGAGGTTACATCATAACTTCATCGGAAAACTTGCCTATACTGCTTTACTCATAACAGTATCTGTAACAGAAACACTCTCAAGGTGAGGCCTGTCCATTGGCATTCCATTCATAAAAATTGGTTCAGAAGTTTTTGCTTTAAAGTAGCCTGTTGAGTTTTCAAGCTGAATCGCTTTTTCATACTTGACCCCATCTGTTATAGATGACTTTTTGTGAGACATTCTTGTGCTGAGAGAGTCTTGACATTTGCTTGGTAAAATGCCATAAATGAAAAATAGAAATTTTTTTAATACTTTATTTTGAGGAACAAGCAATGAGGGATGATGGGAACATGCTTCTATACCATGCAATGCATAGGATACCCACCCAAGGAGTTTCTACTACACCACCAGAAACTGTAATTTTCCAGTCAATATCTGACCAAAGTTCAATTACAGTTGTACCAGGAATGGTTTGACTGAAGACTTGACTTCAATTTTTATAAATTTTTTTCCATCTGCAACAAGCCCTGGTTGGCCTCCAGTAAACTGCTTTGACAGTTTTGTTCCAAGGGGTAGATGTAATCAGTAGCACACATAGTTATCAACCTAAAATGCACTGAACTATTATCATGAATATGGCTTAATGAGACTACCAAAGTTTGGCTGCATGTGTAATAGTAGGAGGATTATCTGACTAGAGTTAAATGGAAATATATAAAAAACAGAGGGTAAAAGAATTCTGACAGTGATGCAGCTTATGAAGTTTTTCATTTTAAAACCCCAGTCACTGTAGAGCTCATAATTGTTGTCTATTGCATCCACTGAGCACATTTTTTAATAGGATCACCTGGTGCTTGTCTCCTTTTTTTGTCATTTCATGGACTTCTTGCTCCATTATCTCTTCTTCTCTTCTCTTTTTCATTGTACAAGGAGGCCAAGTACACTTTTGCCTTTTTCTCTTGAAAAGTGAGATCAAATGATTTCTGACATCTTGTCTATTTCTTTGAAAGATAATAGTAGGCTTCATCTATATTATCATTGATTTTTATAGAAGACTCTTCAAGCCAAATCTATAATTTTTTAAATACTAATTTTCCCTTTAAATTTTGATTTGAATGAATGGCATATAATACTGCTGAGATCCTTGAGTCTTTGAGATGATTCCTGAAGATTTATCTCTCCTCTGTATAGAAACTTCAGAGACAACTGGAATTCTTGGAGGTACAAGAGGAGTACATCAAGGATGAGCAGCGAAACCTCAAAAAAGAGTATTTACATGCACAAGAGGAAGTGAAGAGGATTCAGAGTGTTCCTCTTGTCATTGGGCAATTCCTTGAGGCTGTGGATCAGAATACTGCAATTGTGGGAAGTACCACAGGTGATTGTCATGTTTGGCATTTCATGGATGAGAGGTTTCCTTCCCATAAAATATGCTGGCTGATGGAAAATTATGATATATAAGCTTATGGTGGTCTTATTTTCCATTTCAGGATCTAATTACTATGTGAGGATCTTGTCTACCATTGATCGGGAGCTATTGAAGCCCTCAGCTAGCGTTGCACTGCACAAGCACAGCAATGCCTTGGTAGATGTTCTTCCCCCTGAAGCAGATTCATCAATAGCCATGCTTCAAGCAGGTAAAGTTGTCAGATTTCATCACTTCCCTTTCCTTTTTCATTCTCAAGAGCTGATGCATGTTTTGAATGTCTTTGTACTACAATGAGTTTCAACCTTTACTGTTGTGTTTTCTGTATCACCTATGATTCTTTCCTATTCTTTTTCAGATGAGAAGCCAGATGTAGGCTATTCAGATATAGGAGGCATGGATATCCAGAAACAGGAAGTGAGAGAAGCTGTGGAACTTCCACTGACTCACTCAGACCTCTACAAGCAGATAGGAATTGACCCTCCTCGAGGTGTACTCATGTATGGACCTCCTGGGTGTGGGAAAACCATGCTTGCCAAGGCTGTGGCTCATCATACAACAGGTGCCAGTCAATATTGAACAGAGGAAAACTTTATTGTTATGAGTATCTGAGTGAAGGATGAAAGTGCTTGAATTGCTGTGATATTCTGTGTGATGTAGCTGCCTTCATTCGAGTGGTCGGTTCAGAGTTTGTTCAGAAGTACCTCGGAGAAGGTCCTCGAATGGTGAGAGATGTCTTCCGGCTGGCAAAGGAAAATGCTCCAGCCATCATCTTTATAGATGAGATTGATGCCATTGCAACCAAGCGTTTTGATGCCCAAACTGGTGCTGACAGGGAAGTCCAGCGGATTCTTTTGGAACTGCTGAACCAAATGGATGGCTTTGATCAGACAACTAATGTGAAGGTGAACTAGAGATTTTGAACCTTCATTCAGTGTGCAGATTTAAGCAAATATATCCCTTGAATTATTTTGCGGTTGTAGTCCTGGTTGTAGTCTTTATGATACTTTCATGTTGCTGTCATTTCTCCATTGTGACATAGGTCATCATGGCAACCAATCGAGCTGACACGCTAGACCCTGCCCTGTTGCGCCCAGGTCGTCTAGATCGTAAGATTGAATTCCCCATGCCTGACCGAAGACAGAAGCGTCTTATATTCTCTACCATCACCTCAAGTATGAATCTTGCTGATGAGGTCGATCTTGAGGATTATGTTGCCCGACCTGACAAGATCTCTGGTGCCGATATCAATGCCATCTGTCAAGAGGTAAAACTCAAATTTCCTTGTAATATGAAGTTCCACAAGCAATTTGATGTGATATCAGTATTATATGTATTTTCTCTCCTAGGCTGGCATGCATGCTGTCAGAGAAAATAGGTATGTGATCCTTCCAAAGGATTTTGAGAAAGGATATAAAAACAACATCAAGAAAGATGAGGCTGAACATGAATTCTACAAATGAATTTGCCTTGCTCCTTCCCAGTGGCATATTTTGGCTGTTGAATCAAAGGGGCAGGGTATCAGAAGGAGTGCAAAGGCCAAACATGTCATAGTTCATGCAGTAATTGAAGAACTAGGGTTCACTTCAGGTTGGCTAAAGGCAAGGGTTTCTCTGCAATACATATATTCTAATCACACTATATTGCTGCTCCAAGTGATGGGGCATAGGATTTCAGCTGCCCTTTCTGATTTTTTAAATTATTATTATTAAGGCAGGATTCACAATTCAAAAATAATTTTTTTGTGAGAAGTTTCTTTCCTGCTTCTAAGAAAGCCATTAAAAAATTAGTTCCAATGCACTCTGGCAGTGTATTTACGGTAGCTATTCTTAGTTTACGTAGTATATGGAAGCTTCAAATGAACCCTAATTCTTAATTGCATTAAAGAATGAATAATTATGCTAAATGATAATTGATTAGATAAATTATCCAGGCTCTTTTGGATCAGTTTTCATTTTCACTATTCCCAAAAAGTACTCTGAATGGCTTCAACCCCCCTCTGAAGGCATTCAGAGGAGAATAAAAATAGCTGTGAGGGAGCTCCAAACTTCGTCCGAAGACCGCCAAAATACGCCACTGCCCATTCCTACGATATATTTAAAAAGCATGAACTGGAACTGTTTTGTCATTGAATTAAATCAATAAAGAAAAATTCATTCTATGAACAGGGTTTTTATTCATAAAAAAATAAGAATAAGGAGACAAGGTTTCCCAATTCCAGATACACGTTCATGCAAAGCTAATGTCGACTACAGTCGACTACAGAAATAGAGAATGTGTTTAAAAATTAAAAAGTCTGTTTAAAAATTAAAAAGTCTGGGTGCTTGTTACCAGCTTGATACAGAACCAGGGAAGAGGTGGGTAGCTAGTGACGGAAAAAAAGTTTCATTTGAAAGAAGGCACCAACTATGGACAAAGTGGAAGATTCGACAAAAATAAGTATAAAGAATCATGCTCTTTTCTTACGTAAGGGAGGAAACGAGACTTTTAACGACTTTGGATTCATTGGATAACTTGGGAAAATTTGTTGACGTCTGGATTCGCAATTAGTGGTGGAAGAGGGGAAGGGGCGGTTACCCCCCCCCCCCCCTCCTCTTATGATTCATTGAGGATTTCGTTAAAAACTTGCCAGAAGAGCTAAGTGTCTGTCTCCCTGGAGACCGTGACGCATTAGGAGTATGAGAGGTTTATTTCTCTCATTAACCTTACCCTCCCCTCTTTGCTTGGCAATCCCCGCTCCGCTCTGTAGCTCTCCCTCCCCTCCCACACATGAATAATTTCTGGATCCATCCTGGCTATGAATTGCTCGCAATCTCTGAACAGGGATTCATACGCGGCCCTCCTGCCTAGGATCAATACTCCGGACGTCTTCGCCTTGTTCTACTATTTGTCGATAGCTTATCACTTCCTCTTGAGTGTACCACTGTGATGGGCAGTGCGTGAGAAAGATTTTTGAAGTAGACATGACATGTCAAGGAACCATCGTAGATATGCTGCTGATTCTTAACTCGAGGTCGTGCTTCCTTCCGTTTGTGAGTGCGGCCACGTAGAATTCCTTTCTTTTGTATGTATGGGTTGTGATATTCTACATCAGTGGTGCACAACCTGCGAGTCGCGGACCGTATGCTACCCGCGGAGACCTTTTTTGCGCCCCCCTGGATGCCTCCGGTCTCTAAAGATTCACATTTATATGCGGCCTATTTCTGTTCATGTTCGAGGGCCGCAGGCCCTCGTATCCCTCGAACATAAGCCGAAATCTCAATTTGGCCCTCTAGGGGGAAAGGGTTGTGCACCACTGTTCTACATGCTTTCTTTTTCTTGGTGGAACCATACCTACAGCTTTCCATTCATGTCCCCATTACTTATGAAGAACTTGTAATTGTTTCATTAAAATAAAATTCCGCATAAGGTATTTTTCTGTGCCGCTTTACTAGGATCTCAATACTTGGTACACCCAACGCGTGCCCTTGGGGCGATTCCAGAAGTACTTAATTTGTGGAAATTGGGTCGTTTTTACAGTAGCGCTGACCCGTATGTTCATCAGTACTATTCAGTACCTTCAGTGAAGCCCATGGGGTACTTTTCCGTTCCACGATACTCCTAAAATCCACGTTCCCATAATATGGTGTCCAGACCTATTATTCAGATCGGTTTGGTTTTACATATAGTACGTTTTTGTTCTATTAGTATTGAAGCTCACCACTCCATACCCTCAAAGCCTCGAGGGGAGTCGAGTTCATGGGTACGTTATTTGCCTGAATCGCTTCAATAGGTTTTGTTAGGATAGACTGCCCTTGTTAGGTAAGTAGATACCTCTAAAATTAATAGTGCAAGGTTTCCGTCAATTATGCTTCGAAGAGATGCAAGACTTCTGGCAATGAGAAACAATGAGCATTTCCATCGAAGAGGATGGACGTGTCGAACGACGCCGAAATAATGACGCTTTCGTGTGTTCTGAGGATACGATGATGCGACGAGGTAAAACTCGCTGGAGATCTCTCTGTCGTGGGAATTTTTTCTCCTGCAGACCTGGTGATGAGGCGTGAATTTTTTTTTACTGTCAAGTTATCCAAGGCATTGATAGATTAGAAACTTTTTTTTAAAATCCAATTTCTTTATGCAAAAATTTAACTTAGACTTTCGGTGACTTGAGCGTTAATTTGTCGGATCCAGTCTTGACAGCGAAGGGCATGGTTCCCCGAGAGATTCACTCTGCCCCCGCTAGATGTCTCGCAGTGTAATAAGTGACCGCGTTTCCACGCTTGTCGCGGCGAGAGTCGAAGAGATGGAGCTGTCGGTTGGCACCTCCATCCCAAGTCTATTCGAACTGAATAACTGGATTTCTGGGGAGAATGACGTTGAATCCGGAGAAAGTTTTCCTTCCCGTAATTGAGCGAAACTTTGCGAAAACTTTCTCCGGCCACCGTGAATTTTCCGCCGATGGTGTGTTTTTTTTTTTTAGGAGTGAATTGACGTGAGAATAAATGATCTTATGAAATCTCTCATGCGACCGAGTCCATATCGCTGTTGCAGATTCCCCCAT